GTGCACTCAACCGCCTAAAACTATAATAAATATAGTAAAGCAACGAACCAAGGAAATCAAGCTAATGCATGCAAGATAAAACCAAGCTATTCTAGATAATGCATAATAAAACAGAATCAAGCAAGTAAAGTCCAGCAAAGCCGTCGTACTCTCGCAGGAACCGTGCGCTCAGCTGGCAATGAACAGCATGGATCTAAAGGATAAAAAAATAACGGGGACGTCTCCCTTATGCTCTAAGGGAAACTCCGTGGTTTAGCGCGTGAATTCGTTGACATCCAATACAAAATAGCACTCTCGGCGAGTCCAACACTTCTATGTGGAGCGTTGACAGAGGGGCAGTGGTCAGAGGAAACGAGGAGTGAGAAGCGGGGCGCTGCCGCCCCTCGACGCAGGTAGTGCACGGCGGTGCAAGCGACGGCAGGAGCTGTGGCAAGGACTGCGGTAGGCCAGAGACAAGGAGACACGAGTGCATGTGACAGAGGGGTGACCATGACGGTGGTGCAAGAGGAGGGATGGGTGCGTAAGTAACTGACACGAGCAAGTCGCAACGACCTGACTTAACGCAACCACTTGAGCAGACTCAGTGTGCAATGTGTACAGTCCAAACCTAGGCCTCCGTGTTAAGGTAGCAAGTTGGTCTCTAGTATCTGCGTCCGTACAAATTGCCACGCACTCACCTCCATGAGTGGTGGTGGTTACCATCAGATCCTGGAGGTGAGAGGTACTCACCAAGTTCGTAGCGAACGAGGGAAGGTGGAGATCTGTGAGAGAGCCAGATGGGGCTGCTGGAGAACCGTGGAGCCGCGTGGAACGACTGGTCCAGAGGAGGGGTCGGCCACAGTGACAGGAATGTCACAATGTAAAAATTAACTATGGAATGAAACTTACAGCAAGATAAATCCGGTGAACCCTAACATAACCCTAGGTCAAGAATGTACACCTAGACTAACAAATATAAGCTATAGCAAATATAGCTTGACACACCCCCATAGTCTTGCAAGGATGCTAAGAGGGTAAGCTAGGTCTGGGCGAGTACAAGACATCAGGTATATGAGACAACCCACCAGCTCAGGATATGGACCACCGGACTCAAATGACTCGTCCGAAGGTGGAGCCGTAAGCCCACGATCCACAGCAAGAGGGGTGAGTTGTACCTTGGATAACGGGAAGCGAAACCGCGTGCGGATCTGCTCGACCATATGCAAATGAGTCAGCGTAATGGTGCGAGCTGCCCTGTCTCTGGTGATCTACAGGCCAAGGTAGTGCTGCAGCTCACCAAGGTCAGTTCAAGTGTGTCTCCTCTGCAGTTCCTCCTTCACAGAGGCCAGCGCGCGTCGGTCGGGAGTGGAACACCAGGTCATCGATGTAGACCAGGACAGAGAACGGGGTCGAGCCACGACGGACGAACAGTGACGGGTCGGCAGACGACGGAAAGAAGTCAAGCGGTGCAAGGGTCGAGCGAAGTGTGACGTGCCACTCACGTGGAACCTGACACAGGCCGTAGATTGGTCGACGCAGCTGCCACTAGGTCCCAGGTGGGAAAGAGACAGTGAAGCCAGGCGGGCGATGCGGAGATAACTACTACAACGGGAGCTAGACTACGGGCTAGGCACGGGGCAGGAGGGATCTCTGCGTTCATTCCCTTAGTCGTTCTCTAGCACTTGTGCATTCACGGGGAAACAATGCATATGCTTCGCAGGCGAGCGTAGCTGGTTGGTGCACTCTTCCTTGTCACGTGCACAGCGCAGACGCCCAGGCCGACTCCACGCCAGCGACTGCGCCCACCAGCCACATCGACCTCGGGATACCAATTCCGAGGTCGGCCTCGCAAAACCATCCCGGCAACCTTCGCATGCTCCCGCAGAAGTCCATCACCCGGTTACACAGTCGACCAGGCAACCAGGGTGATGCCGACAAGTCGGCGTCCTCCCTGGTCGGCGTCCCCTCGTCGACCACTTCGAGACTAGGCCGCCGACTTTGCCAAGTCGTCGGCCACCCAAGGTCGGCGCCCTCCACCCCTGCGCCTTGCTGCTCGACGTCCAGCTGCTCGACGTCCTGCTCCTCGACGCCTTCCAGCTCGACGTCCCCAGTCTCCCCTGTCGAGGTCGACGTCGGCCCCTCCTTCATCGACCACCAGGTTTGTCGACCTCCTGGTCGACCACCCCGAAGTCGGCGCCATCCTGAAGTCGGCGCCCGCGCGTGCAGGTCGACCAACCCTGTCAACCAGCTCGCCCACTATTGCAGGTCGGCTGCTCCCCTCTCATCCGACCACAAAGTCGGCTCCACCCAAGCGAGGACAGGGCCTCACAATGTCTCCCGTTGACAGGCGACGCAGCCAGATCTGCTCGTGCAGGCCCCCCTGAAGGAACGCGGTGGAAAAGTCCAAGGAGTGCAACTCGTAGTCGCGCTGGGCTGCAATATGTAGCAACACCCGAAGAGTACTCATGTTAGGGGTGGGAGCGAAGGTCTAGAAGAAGTCCACCCCCTCTCGCTGACTGAAGCATCTCGCCACATAGCGCGCCTTGAACACTGGTGGTGATCCAGGCGGCCGCTTCACCTTGTAGAGCCATCGGCCACTGACGACGTTTGTCCCAGGTGGTGGGACTGCGTCGACGTAAGTGTTGGTGGACCTATAAGATGCCATCTCTACCTCCTTAGCTGCTATCCAGTACGAGGCCCAAGTTCCTGAGGCCGCCTCAGCGTGGTTGCGAGGGATCAGGATGTCAAGATCCTCTTCATCCCCCTCAGGGGCAAGCAGCATGGCGCAGAGATGAGGAACAGCGGCCGCAAGGAAACCAAGCTCAAGCTGCCTGTCGTCTAGGACCTCCAGGGAAAATACAGGAGCACCCCCAGAGGATGGAGAACGAGCAGGGCCACTCACCAAATGTGGTCGGAAGAGGCAAATCCAGTGATCGGGTGAGTGACCAAGACGGACAAAACACGGGAGACGACAGGACGGGAGGCACGGAGGTAGTCGGACAACGGGTCGTGAAGCACAGAGAGGGATGACTCAGGAGGCTTTGGAAGGACTGGAGGAGGAGGAACATGAGAGCGGAGAACAAGGTGACACGGGCCGTCTGCACGGTAACGAGACCGATGGGGCTCTGGAGACACAGCACGACTAAGGGGAGAACGACAAGTTCACTGGGACGAGGAAAGGGACTGGACGGGGGGAACACGAGGGGACGGTAGGGGACCTCGAGCCAAGCGTGCAGGTGCTGGGTTGGGCAGGTCGCGCAGTCGTAGTTGCTGCTGCTCCGCCTCCTCTGGCGTCTGCTGCGACAGTACCGGTCCCTGCTGCTGTTCCTGTGGCTCCTCCTTTGCCCTCTCCTGCTGTGTTTGCAACTGCACCTGCTGCTGCAGGTGGGACTTCTGCTCTACCCTCTCCTGGTGCGACTGTGACTCCTCCGCTACTCTCTCCTGTTGCGACTGCAACCGCACCCGCTGCTGCACTTGTGACTCCTCCTCTACTCTCTCCTGCTACGGCTGCAACAGCACCTGCTGCTACAGTCGTGACCCCTCCTCTGCTCTCTCCTGTTGGTGCGGTGACTCCTCCTCTACTCTCTCCTGCTGCTGCGACTGAGACTGCTCCTGCTGCTGCTGTAGTGCCCTCTCAAACCGCTCACGCTCCTCCCTCTCCAACCGGAGGAGACGCTGCTCACGGGTCAGGAAACGTACAGTGCGCGGTGTAGGCGCCACAGTGCCAGTGCCTCTAGCTCCAGCACCCCCAGAACCAGCACCTCCACCACCGACACCCCCGGGGTCTCCAGTACCTCCCGCAAGAACACCCCCAGTCTCCGCAGCAACCGGCCGCAGATGAGAACGAGGAGGGAACTGCGGGACAGACGGGAAGCTAGGGGGTGACGCGGGGCGAGGCCGCCAACTCGAGGCTGCCGTGTCCTCCTCCGGAGTGACCTCCATGCCCACAACCCCTGCACCCCAAGAGCCGACCCCACCAGCTCATGCAGTCCCAGTACCCTCACCCTCCGCAACTACACCTCCCGCAACCCCACACACGACAAGGATTGGACGCTGTGGGGGGGACGACTGCGGAGTGACGTGCGACACACCTGACGAGGCAGGACGCAAAGGTGGGGGGAGGCTACTGGGGCGACGGAGGGGGCCTCAAGGGTGAGGAACAGCTGGGGGGGAAAGACCTCTGTACCTCGGTGGGGGCGAATCCTGTAGTAACAGACAGACTCGTCGAATGTGACGTCCTGGGAAGAGAAGAACCCGCAGGTGATCGGGTCGTAGAACACCCAGCCAGAGGCGTCCAAAGGGAAGCCAAGTAAGACGCAGGCATGAGCGCGCGGAGACAACTTGTTCGTGCCAGGGGCGCGAACGTGAGCCAGACAACCCCAGACACGGAAGTCAGATGCTGCGCCTGGTAAACCTATCCAGAAGGAGACCGGCGTCACCCGTAGCCGTGCGTCACTGGGCCACAGGTTCAGCTGGTGCGCGTCGTAGCGGACTGCCTGAGGCCACAAGAACTGAGGGGCACGAGCATGGCACATGGAAGTCCGGGCAACCTCAATGACCAGGCCGATGCGTCGCTCGGCTACCCCATTCTGTTGCGGCGAGGCTGGTAGTGTGTAAGACTGGATGATCCCCCGACCCCGACAGAACGTCTTTAGGCGAGTGTGTCAACGTACTAGCGTAAGGTTTAAGGCCTAGGCTTAGTAGCCTAGGCCAACGTATGTCGAGAGAGTTTGTGCCAAGCGAGAGAGAGAATGGGTTGGGTTCACTATAGCACACAAGGTACATATAGCAAACTAGCCAAGGTGCACCACCATATAAGCAAATAAATAACTACACTAACACTATCTACAAACAGTTATATAAACTATGCAAAACATAGTTTGACACGCCCCCTGAACTGTTTGCAGGTAGAAGTGTAGAACGCCCGTGGAGGTGTACACCTGGCGAAGTGGAAGATGGCAGAGAGGTGAGAGGGGGATGAGGAGAGGAGGTGAGGGGGAGCCACCCGTGGCGAACCCCTCTTAATAACCCCCTTTTACAAAGGGAGAGGTGAGAGGAGGATGAGGAGAGGAGGTGAGCGGGAGCCACCCGTGGCGAACCCCTCTTAATAACCCCCTTTTACAAAGGGAGAGGTGAGAGTGGGATGAGGAGAGGAGGTGAGGGGGAGCCACCAGTGGCGAAACCCCTCTTAGCAACCCCCAAGTCCCCACCCCCTTTCAACCACCCCCCCTTAACCTCACTCCCCCGGTCAGCCGCCCCTTAGAACCTCACCCCGGTCCCCCTTTCTGCCTCCACACCCCTGCCCCACCCACGGTAGTCCCTGCAGCGGGGTCTCTGCTGGGGGTGAAGCTGCTGGCGGGGTCTCTCTGCTGGCGGTGAAGCTGCTGGCGGGGTCTCTGCTGGCGGTGTAGCTGCTGGCGGGGTCTCTCTGCTGGCGGTGGAGCTGCTGGTGGGGTCTCTCTGCTGGCGGGGGTCTCTGCTGGCGGGGTCTCTCTGCTGGCGGTGTAGCTGCTGGCGGGGTCTCTCTGCTGGCGGTGTAGCTGCTGGCGGGGTCTCTCTGCTGGCGGTGTAGCTACTGGCGGGGTCTCTCTGCTGGCGGTGGTGCTGCTGGCGGGATCTCTGCTGGCGGTGGATTCTGCTGGCGGGGACTCTGCCTGCGGTGTCTCTGCTGGCGGAGGTCTCTGCTGGAGGGGGTCTCTGCTGGCGGGGGTCTCTGCTGGCGGGGTCTCTGCTGGCGGGGGTCTCTGCTGGCGGTGGCGCTGGCGTTGTAGCTGCTGGCGGTCCTGCCATGCCCTTCCCCCGCTTCCCTCTCCCCCACAGCGTTCGGCCGCCACTCCCTGCCCTTCTTCCCTCACCCCCTCCACAGCGACCGCTGCTGCACACGCGAACAACCACGACGGGCGGGGGTGACGGGCAGGGGGCAGGGGTAATGCGACGGGCAGAGCGACGGCGGGCGGCGGATCGCTGACCACGGGCGACGAGGAGGTGACGATGGGTGGCGCGGATGCGGCTACGAGTGACGGGGTTGTGGCGACGAGCGGCGGGGATGTGGCGACGACCGACCTGCGCTGCACCGTACTTGTGCAGATCCCTCCTCCTGCCATTCCCCTCATCCCCCCCACCTCACCTGCCCACCCCCCAACCCCTCCGTTCCCCCCAGACCCTGTCTTCCTGCTGTCCCCTGTCGGCATGCACTCGCGCAACCTCCAATCGGACCAGCACGAGATCATCGAAGAACCTGGTTCAAAACCGACCTTCCGAGCACCATATCGACTCAGCCCTACCGAGTTGGCCGACATGAAGAAGCAGGTCGAGTACCTTTTGGACAAAGGACTCATTCGACCATCAACATCACCATACGGTGCACCAGTGCTTTTCACACCAAAACCTGACGGAAGCTTACGCATGTGCATCGACTACCGAGCCCTCAACAAGCAGACGATCAAGAACAAGTATCCGATTCCACGGATCGACGATCTACTTGACCAGCTTCGTGGAGCCACGGTATTCTCAAAACTTGATTTGAGATCGGGATATTGACAAATCCGGATGACGGATAACTCCATCCATAAGACGGCGTTTCGGACACGATACGGATCCTACGAGTACCTTGTCATGCCGTTCGAACTCACCAATGCACCCGCTACATTCCAGGCCGAAATGAACCATATTCTCAGGCCTCTACTCGACGAATGCGTGGTGGTGTACCTGGACGACATCCTGATCTACTCGAGGGACATGAAGCAGCACATCGAACACCTACGTCGCGTCTTCGAGATGGGAGAAGTTCTACGTTAAGCTATCCAAGAGCGAGTTTGCCTTGAAGAAAGTTCAGTTCCTTGGACACATGGTGAGCGCTCAAGGAGTCCATGTCGACCCAAAGAAGATCGAAGCCGTACGTACGTGGAAGACACCGGAGAACGTGAAGGAACTTCAGCAATTCCTTGGCTTTGCGAACTACTACAATCGGTTCGTGCCACAGTATGCGAAGATTGCAACACCTCTCACCAATCTACTGAAGAAGAATACACCGTTCAAGTGGGAGGATGTGCACCAGCAAGCCATGGAGCAGTTGAAGACCGCACTCACGTTCGCACCCGTCTTGATCTTGCCAGATCCAGAAAAAGACTACGTCATCAAAGCTGACGCTAGCAACCAAGCAGTTGGAGCAGTCTTGATGCAAGACCAAGGGAAAGGACTACAACCAATCGCTTACCTCAGCAAAAAATTGCACGGGGCAGAACTCAACTACCCGATTCACGACAAAGAGGCCTTAGCAATCATCACCACATTCAAGACATGGCGATGCTACCTCAAAGGGAGAAAGACCACGGTCTACACTGACCATTGCAGCCTGAAGTACCTAAAGACGCAGCCGACCCTCTCCAGACGACAAGTCAGGTGGATTGACTTCCTCGAGACGCACTTCGACTACGACATCGTGTACAAGCCGGGACATAAGAATAAGGCAGACGCACTGAGCCGGTCTGGACACGTTGCCGCCATACACGTTCCAGCGTACTGCACTGCAAACGGCCACAGGAAATGGGGGGCAGCCTCATGGATCATGGAAGTACGAGCGACCTCCATGACTAGACCAATGCGGCGCTCAGCAACCCCATTCTGCTGCGGAGAGGCCGGAAGCGTGAACGTCTGGCGGATGCCGTGCTCCGCACAGTAGGCTGCCAAGAGGTCGGAGGAAAACTCACCATCCCTGTCAGAGTGCAGGCGCAGGACGGGAAAGTCCGACTGGAACCGCTGGCGGAGCTGGAGACGAGTAGCGCGGATCTAAGGGATCAAAACATCAGGGACCTCACCCTTGGTGCGCAAGGGGAAGACCGTGGTGTAGCGCGTGTAGTCGTCGACGACCAGCAGGAAGTACCGCTCGTGGCCCTGTCCACGGACGCGGGCTGGGCCCCACACGTCCAGGTGGAGAGTCTGCAGGGGAGCCTCTGTGGGAGGGAACGAGGAGGAGTGAGGAGCGGCACGCTGCCGCCCCTCGACACAGGGAAGACAGGGAGGAGCAGGCGAGGGTGGGAGGGGAGGGAGAACCCTGGGAAGACCAGAGACAAGGTACCGGGAGGGCATGTCGCGAAGGCGCTGCACTGACGGGTGACCAAGGCGGTGGTGCCAGAGGACAGTCTGGTGTGACAGGGAGCGACACGATCAGGGGGCCGACAGCTGACCTGACGCAGACGCAGACGCAGTTACCTGAGGGGACTCAGTGGTCAGTGTGTACAAGTCCGACCCCAGCTGCCTAGTGAAGGTAGCCAGGTGGCGACCCGTCCGAGCACACGTACAGTGGGTCACACGCTCATAGGCAGGGGTGAACTGGTGAACACCCCCGTCCTGTAGAGGAGGGCCCGCCACCAAGTTCGTAGAGAACGAGGGGAGGTAAAGACCTGACAGAGTGCCGGACGGGACCGCAGGACAAGGGAGGACAGTGGAGGAGGTCGCAAGGACTGGGCCCCCAGAGGGGTCAGCAAGGGAGACAGCCACAGGCCGAGCGAGCTGCTCATGGACAGTGCTGTCTCGAAAGAAGCAGCGGGAAGCACCCGAGTCCAGTGTGAAGGTGTGCAGTGCCTCAGTAGACGCAGTACCAGCAGGCGCAGACGCACGACCACCTGGAGCAGCAGACTCACTAGCACCTAGAGCAGCAGCCTCACCAGGACCTAGGGCAGCAGACGCACTAGCACCTAGAGCGGCAGCCTCACTGGTCCCAATACCCGGGTCTGGCGGTACACGCAGGTAACAGTCACCCTCAACACTAATAGTCAATGCATACATTGCACCAAGGATAGCATCAAAATCAAGAGCAAAGATATCAACGTTCTTTTTAAGCAGATCAGCCCAGCGGGGCGGCTCAGAGGCGTCAGGGAACTGCTCGCGCCAGGCGTCGTCGAGACGGAAGAAGCAGCGGTGCGCCGTGTGGAACCTCCCACAGGTCTGGCCAGTGCGGTCACCTGTGCGGATGACGTACGGGCAGGTACCTCCACCCCCAGACCCCCCACGCTGAGAGTACCACTCACGGAGCTGCTGGGGCGACTGGGTCTCGCTGGAACGCTGCTGCTGCTGCCTCTGGCCACCGCCGAACCCGCCACGCTGCACCGCTCCACCGCGCCCTCCACCAGCTCCACTGCCGCCACCACCACCCCCGCCACCCCCACCACCGCCGCCGCCACCACCCCCGGCTCCGCCACTGACCCCCCCACCACCAGCACCACTCCCACCACCGCCACCACCACCTCCGCCCCCTCCACCCCCTCCACCACTGCCGCCCCCGCCGCCACCTCCGCCACCCCTGCCCCCCTTGCTCCTGCCGCCCTTGCGCCTCCCACTGGGAGCAGACGCAGCCCCGACCCCCTCAGCACTGAGGTAGTCGACAGCAGCAGCAGATGCAATGGAGGGGAGAAGGGGGGAGGGGGAGCATCCCTCAAAGAAGGGAGTGCGAGGGTCGCCACAAGAGGCACCTACAGCTAAAATGCTCTTCTCAGCTGCTAGGAGTTCCTTCTCGAGCAGGTCAACAGTGAGGTCGGTGGGGGAGTGGGCGAGAAAGTGATCCCTGACAGCACGAAGAGAGTCAGGGAGGCGAGTGACGAGGTGGTAGAGTGTGAGGTACATCGGGGGAGGGTTCTTGGCTAGGAAATCGGGGGGAAGCGCGGAACGGTAGCGGAGATCACTAGTACGGAGGTGAGTGATGAGGTCAGCTACTGTGGCAAAGGCAGAGAGATCGGGGAAGAGATAGGGCAGTGAGAGACGGCCTATCGCATCAGTAGCAGGGGAGGAGTAGCGTGCAACGACCGCATCGTACAGCTCCTTAGCAGTCTTATGCTGGCCAAAATGCTCGCGCTCATCTAACGGCAGGTGGCTGCGAACGGCTAGGCGAGCATGAGCGTCACGGGTCTGCCACTGTGAGCGAGTAGTACTGTCAGCAGTGGCAGCAGGTGCGGGAGCGGCGCCGGACATGTGGTCATACAGGGAAACATCGTCCTTGGCAGTGATCTGGAGGAACACGTGCAGGTCATCGAGCCAAACATCAAACTTAATCGGGCGGCCCTCAACGTCAAAAGTGAGAACGGTAGGACTGGCCATAGTGGCAGTAGCAGCAGTAGCAGTAGCAGTAGTAGCAGTAGGAGCAGTAGCAGTAGCAGCTGGAGCAGTAAGAACAGCTGTATCAGCAGGAACAGGAACAGCAGTTGCTGCAGGTGGGGCAGCTCGGCTCGGTCAGGGCGGCGCGACTCGGGCGGCGCGGCTCGGGCAGGTAGGGTGGCGCGACGGCGGGCCTATGCACGGTGTGCGGCGCGGGTGCGCGCGGGCCGCGGCTGCGTTCGTGCGGCGGCTAAGCGCGAGCTGCAGCAGCCGACGCGCGATCGCCGCTGCGCGCGGGCTGCGACCTGCGGGCGGGCGGCGGTGGGTCGAGCGTCGGCCTAGGGGCGAGCGGGGCCTACGGGCGACGGCCTACTGGCGCGCGCGAGAAAAATCGGGCCGCCCTAGGCGGCTGACGGGCTACTCGCGCTAAAAACGCGGGGCCGCGCTCGGGCTGCTAGCGGGCTGCAAACGAGCAGCGTGAGAGGAGAGCGCGCGAGGGCGCACTAGGAGAGAGGCGCACGAGGGCGCTAAAACAGTAGGGCGTACGAGGGCACCTCTGGCGGAACGGTGGGCCCTTAGGTAAGCGGTCCTAGGTCTAAAACCTACGCTCTTAATACCATGTCAGAAACAAGAAGTGATTGAACTAGGAACATTGGGAGTACAAGTATGAAACCCTAGAGTATTGTACCCCTTAAAGGCTAACCCACTGTAGCCTACACAGCAGTAACATATATAATGTTTGACATCCGCTACTCAAGGGACTCTTCATGCACGGGTGTACCATTGGCAGAGAAAAATAAATTGTTGCAGTGGGACCACGACATCGCACTACGCAAAGGATCAACAAAGATATGGGTACCCAACTACCCGCCTCTTCGGCAGTTGCTTCTCGAAGAATTCCATGACGTGCTCTACGCTGGACACTTCGGGAGTAACAAGACTCTTGCCGGGATTGTGAAAGTCTACTACTGGCCTCACATGGCAAACGACGTGCAAAAGTTTGTCACTTCGTGCGACACGTGCCAGCGGATGAAAAGCAGTAACAGCCCTTACCCGGTTCCGGAACAGCCTTGGCAAGTGGTCAGCTTGGATTTCATCACCG